CCCCGTGCCCCCCGTTTCCCGCCTCCCTCTGGGGTCGGTGAGGGAGCGGCTGCTTGTGGCCTCCTCCTTCCCGCTGTCCCCTCAGCAGGCATTGGTATGTGCATGCTCAGAAGGAGCCTGTTCCCCAGCAGCTGTGGCTAGTTCTGGTTTCTCTCTGCAGGGCAGAAGGGGTCCCGCGGAGGCTTTTCTTTCCTTGTCTGTCCTTCAGCTTCCCAGTATGGGAGCTGCTGGGGGGCCGCAGCCCGTAACCCCATAGGAATTAACGCATGTTGTGTCGGTGCCCCACTTGGCAGCTGGCACTGCCGCCTGGAGCTCTCCCAGCTGAGGGGTGGCAGGGCTCCACTGCTCCCGCTGGCCCCGGGGCTCCGTAGGGCTGCGGTGGGTTCCTGGGAGGGTCTCGTCCCGCCCGGGCTTTCCCGGGCACTGGGTTCTCCTTCAGGACCCTCCCCGTCCACAATCCCCCCCCTTTCTCTGCGGGCATTGTGGGCAGGAGCCGCTTCTGCTTTTCCTGGCAGGGAGCCGGCCTCTTGTTCATTAACAACCCAAAAAATCGTTATGCAAACACCTAAAGGCGCCGGGCTGCAAGCACTGCCAGGGCAGGAGCTGCTTGGTACAAGCCCACAGAAGCACCTCTGGGGTTAATAGTCTTGTCCCCTTGTGCAAGCTGAGCCTGCTTGGCAACTTTCCTGTGCCGGCAGCTGGCAGTTTCACGTGCAGGATGGGGAGCTTGTGCTCCAGCAGCTGTAGTGAGTCATGGTTTCTGTCTTGACCCATGGGGCCAGGAGTTCAGGGCTCTGTCAGGTAAGTGGGGAAAAAAATTGCAGGCCCGTATCGGTTCCTCCCCCATCTGCCTTACTCCCTCCCGTGCCCTGACTTCAGTCTTTCTCCTAGGCACCCTATAAGAAGCTTTGCTCAGGCCCCCTTCATCCCATCGCCCCCAGGATAACTGAGTTTTTAGCCCCTTGTTGGCTCCAAAGGCTCAAGCCTGGGGTGCTGGGGCTGCTGGTGGTGGTGTCCAGCAGCTGTGGTGAGCGGAGGAGGGCTCAGCAGACGTGTTGGGGGGTCCCTGGACCCCCCCCCCCCCGCCCCCCCTGCCTACCCCCCCTGACCAGCCCTGGTGGGGCAGGGGGGGCTGAGTGGTGGGAAGGGGAATGCTCCCAGCCAGCGAGTGCCTTGTGTTCTGTCTGGGAAGGGTGTGTGCAGGGTGGTGTGGAGGGTGCTGGTTCTGCAGGGGGCCAAGGGCCAGTCCCTGAGCTCACCGACACTGCATTTGTCTCCCCAGGTGCTGTCTGGGTGCTGGGGGTGGGCTGCAGCCTCACAGGGGGAGCAAGGACAGGGCAGGACTGTGCTGGCATCGCCTTCCTGAGCCTGCGTGTCACCGCAGGGCCACGGCTGATATTTTAAATCAAGCGTGACAGCTGTGAGGCAACAGAATGTAATGTCCCAATCTATTGCGTTCTCATCATGTTCTCTGCAGTCTCCCATTACGATGCTAACAGCTGTGGTGGTAAAACTGCATCTACGCCTGGCTTGAAACAGGCTTTGCCAGCAGTTGTGATGCCTTGGGCGCAAGATCCTGCTTGTTGCAAGCAAAGAGATTCCACTTTCCAGCGTGCCATGGGACAAGGGGAGGGGAACGGATTCTGCTCCAATGCTGGGAATGTGGAGGAGCCCCTGGGTCCCCAGGACGGAGGGGCATCCTGCCACCCAGGGGTACCTGGGGGATACAGACAAAAGGACACACAGAAGACTTCTGGGTGAGTGCAGGGCCACCCCTGTGGCCTCTAGGGAGGGGACAGTGTCCCTGTGGCGGTGTCACCCCACGAGGACTGGGAAGTGTGAGGCTGCTTCTAGCTGTCTGGAAAGGCTTTGTCTTCTGCTCAGTCCTCATTGGGTGTTCTGTAGCAGCCCCCCACCACATCTCCATCCATCTGGCAGCTCTCCTGCTGCGGGCTGTCCTCTGGGGGTCCATTCCACGTTCCCTGGGCAGCTCGTGTTGGGGGTGGCGGGGACGTGAGGGCTGTGCCTGCTCTGGGACAGCACCATCCTCACTGCGAGTGGCTTTTTCCTCTTCCAGGCAAGCGGTACACACTCCATGTGGTGTGAGCCCTGGTGCTGGCTGTGCTCATGGCTCTGGTCCTGGCTTTGGCTGTGGCTGTTGCTGTAGGGGAGGAGCAGCTGCCTCCATGTGGCCCCTCGGCGCAGGGCTGTGTGTGCCACCAGCAGCCCAGCCCGTGCGGTGCCAGGCTGGATGCGGCCCCTTCCCCTCCAGGCTGGGGCAGGCGTTGGTGTGTGAGGCTGGTGGGGGGAGTGTGGTGGGGCCAGGCCCTCAGGCTGGCTGTGTCCTTGCCCTGTCCCTGGGGGTCCTGGGGAGGAGCAGGGATACCCCCACCCGTGCCGTGGGGAGGCTGTTAACCCCTGGGGTGTCTGCTCCCTGTAGGTCCCTGGCAGCAAATTGGGGATCCCCGTGGGGGGAGCCTGGGGCTGCCTCCTTCCCTGCCCCACGGAGCTGTGTCCCCGCTCCCTGTGGAGCAGAATCCTCTGACCTTCTCCCTTTCTTCCCTTCCCTTTCCAGCAGGAAGGCATGAAGGGAGTCCGGATCTGCCTGCGGCTCTGGTGCTGGCCTGTCCTGACGGCTGGGTTGGGTACTGCAAGGTCTGCTACTACCTCTCAAAGGAGGAGGGGAGCTGGGAGTGGAGCCAGGAGCAGTGCTCCTCGCTCGGGGCCTCGCTGGCTGTGCTCAAGATGAGGTGGGAAATGGTGAGTGAGGGGCTGTTGTGGCTGCGTGGGGGTGAAGGGTGGCCGTTACTGGGTTGGGTGCAGACCCCGGGGTTGGTGCTGGGCAGGCAAGAGGTGCTTGTCGGGACAGAGATGCAGTTCTGCCCTGGGGCCTTGGAGGGTGGGAGGCACGGGGTGCAGCGTGGAGCCTGGGGCGCGTCTCCCCATCCGCGGTGCTCAGCTGGGCCCCGAGCACTGCAGAGCTCTGGCAGAGCAGGAACAACACCGCTAGCCGGGCTGGTGAGCTCCTTCAGAAGCCTCTGGAGCTTGTTGGAGCAGCCGTTGGGTGGGAGCTGCTGCCATCCCACGACCGGTGGCAGCAGTGCAGGGCCAGGGCTGCCTGCGAGGCCGGCAGGGACCAGCGTGAGGCTGTGACTCGCGTGGGGCTGGCAGCGGCTCCTGACCGTTGGCTTCCCTCTTTCCTACTCAGGAGCTTCTCTTGCGCCTCAAGGGCAACGTTGATTACTGGCTTGGGCTGCGGAGGCAGGGCGAGCGCCTGGAGTGGGTGGATGGCAGCAGCTTCAACCACATGTGAGTCCTGTCGCGAGCCAGGGCCATGGGGCGACCGTCCTGCGGTGGGCCAGGCAGGGGCCTGGTGGGACGTGTCTGCTGGGACTGTCCCTTGCAGGCAGCACTTGCCTTTTCCTGGTGCTTGAGGGGACAACCGCTAACCCAACAGTACCAGCGGTGCCTTTCCTTCTTCTTGCAGGTTCCTGGTGCACGGCCAAGGAGTGTGTGCGTATTTGAAGGACCATGCTGTCACAAGTTGAAGCTGCTCACAGCACCGGCCTTATCTCTGCCGCAAGCCCCAAGCTCTGATGGGAACCACATGACAGAGGTGATGGAGAAAGAATCACAGAATAGTTCGGGTTGGAAGGGCCCTTCACAGACCGTCTAGTCCAACCCCTCTGCCATGAGTGGGGACATCTCCAACTAGATCAGGCTGCTC